CCATGGAAGCCACCATGGCCTTGGAGAACCTGAACCAGGTCCTGTTTGAGCTGCAGGCCCTGGGTTCTGCCCGCGCAGACCCTCAGCTCTGTGACTTCCTGGAGAAACACTTCCTGGGTGAGCAGGTGAAACTCATCAAGAAGATGGGCCACACCTGACTCACCTCCGCTGTGTGGCCGGCCCCCAGGCTGGGCTGGGCTGGGCTGGGCGAGTGTCTCTTTAAAAGGCTTGCCCTCAGGTACATCTAGGAGCCTTTGGAGCTCAGAGGCCTTTGAGGGCCCCCTCTGCCTTCCCCTGGTGTCTGGCTTTTGCCTGAGCCTCTTCCTGAAACCACTAGCAATCCTTTTAACCATTCTGAAGTCTTCCTCTCCCGTGCATTGGACCAAATGGAAACAATAAAGCTTTTTGCGGCAAAATAATAATAATAATAATAATAATAATAATAAATAAAATAAAAGGTCACCATTATATTGGATTTAGGGCCCATCCTACTGCAATATAACCTCATCTGCAAAGACCCTATTTCCAAATAAAGTCATATTCTGAGGTCCTGGGGGTTAGGACTTCAATCGATAAATGTTGGGGGCGTACAATTCAACCCATGACCCCCGGGGAACGCCCTCCCTCTCCTGTAGCTCATTCCTCAGTATTTGGATCACCCTAGTGATCTGCCGTGGGTGCCAGCCCGTAGACCCACTAAGGGTTCCTCCTCAGATCACTTGCAATGCCTGCTGCACCTCTGTGAGGTGGCGGCAGGGGCCGGGGACATCCACAGTTCTTCCTCCGGAGCCCAGGTGTGACTGGCCCCACCTTGGGTGAGACTTCATCTGATCCGATAACAACTGGAGAGCCGAAAGGAGAAAACTGATAAGGGAGAGGTTAATAATAATGGGGTGGGGGAGGGGGGGAGGAACGAAACCCAGATGACCTTTGCCCTTTCCAACTTTGATTTACAAACAACACAACCAGAAGGTCACCTGGGTCTGCGGTGGCTGTAAAACGCTCATCAGCTGACACAGCATCTGTTCAGCGCCCTGGGAATTTCCAGTCCTGGCAAATGTGACGGTAACACGGTGGGCCACTTCTCTTTCCTCGTCCTGGCAGCCCTTCAACACCGTCCCAAGAGTGGGAGGGGTCCTGGTGAGGGCTCTGTCTGCCAGACTTGTCCCCAGTGTCCCTGTAAGAAGAGGGGTTGGCTGAGGAGAGCTCTACAGTCCCTCAGAGCAGGCAGGCATCTGGGGCCCAGCTCGACTCCTTGCCACAAGGGTGACTTGGGAAAGTCACAGAATTTATTTGAGCCTCTGTTTTCTCACCTGCAAAATAGGAAAAAGAAAAACAGCTTGCCCTGGTTGGGGTGAAGAGTAACATAAGAGGCCCGGTTGGGGCTCAGGAGGGAGGAAGGACCAAGGTGGGCCCAACTCCATCAGCGCCCTGGTCCCCTGTTGTATGTTAGGTTGAGTAGGGCCCTTGCCACTCGGAGGGTGTGGGCCAGGGGAACAGCAGCGGACCCGGGGAGCGAGTCAGAAATGTAGACTCCCAGCCCCCACCCCCCAGGCCTGCTGAACCAGAATCTGCGTTTTAACACGATTCAATGTGCTCTCACTGAAGATTGAAAATCACTGTTTTCATGGGCATTGTTTTTGCCTGTTCTGAGTCCATTCCTCCTTCTTCTGGTAACAGTGATCTTATTTTCTTTGGGCAAATCATGCCTCCAACTCTAGCTCTATGGGCTTCGCTGGGGCTTAACTACCCTCCAGGTCCCCACGGGGGCATGAGAGCTGGTCCTGGCAAATCAGAACCAACCCTGGGGCTCCTCCTGGGGCTGCTGGGAAAGAGGAACTCTCTTATGTAGCCTTCATTCAGCTGCAGGATGGAGGCCTGGGGCTGGGTGCTCACATCTCGGTCCCACCACGGAGAATCTAAGAATGGAGTTCCCAGGGAGAGGAGAGAGAGAGAGAGAGAGAGAGAGAGAGAGAGCGAGAGCAAGGGTCTGACCAGATACTGCTGTGTATAAATCGTGAAAGCCATCTGCTGTGTGTGTGGGTCAGGGCCGGGCCCCAAAGTGGTGGGTGCCCATGAGGGAGGGCGGGGCTGTGCACTTGGTGGGCGGAAATGAAAGTGCTGGGAGGTGTGAGTGGGATGACCTGTTGCCTTGGGAGCTGTGTTGCGTGTCAATGTGATGCGGCTCTGTCGGTGGGGATATTGTTGTCTTTGTGAGTCTGTTGGTGTGTAACTGTTGGATGTAGGGACAAGGGTGAATCATCTGCTAGATGCGTGAGTGCACGCGCTTGTCGTGCCTCGTGGGTTGCTTGGGCATGTCCCATGGTGGTGTGACAGGCGGGTGTCCAGTGTGCGCCCAGTGAGTGGATGGGCAAAGTGTGTCCAGCCGGGTCAGGCCATGCATTTGGTCAGTGCTCATGACTGCCCAAGGGCAGGTCCTGTCCCAGGGCTCACCTGTCCTCCGTTAATTCCCAGTCACTACCTCAGCCCGGGGGCGTTGAGTGTGCCCCGCTGGGCTCCTCCCCCCTCCCTATCGGCCTTTTCAGAGCAAAGGAAGCTGCAAACTCCTAGGCAGCGCAAAGCCCCTGGGTCCCAGTCACCACTTTTTTAAAGAAGGAAACGTGAAGACATTTTCATCCCCGCTTCCAGAAAGCCGCTTTCAGATCAGATGTGTCTTTGCTCCAAGGCCTGTGCCCGGAGAGCCTGGTGACTCCTGGGTGTTGTTGTCACAGACCTGGGGGACATTAAAATCGGAGGCCTGGCCCCATTGTGAAAGGGGGAGAAAAGTGCCTGGGCCTTTGTGCGAGCCTGGGGGGCGGGGGGGCGGCAGAGGGAGGAGGGCGGGGAGGGAGGAGAGGAGAGAGAGGCTGGAGGTCAGAGGGGCAGGTCAGGAGGGGCTTCCTGTCCAGGAACAGGGGGACCTGGGCAGTTATGAGGCTCCAGGGAGAGGCTGACACCAGGCACTGCGGGTATGCATGGCGGGGAGGAAGGGAGGAAAGTGAGCCTCTGTGGTGGGGGCGGTCTCTGTGCTGTCAGGAGCCACCACAGGAGAGCACAGGGGAGGGGCTTCCTTGGCACCGCACCCCTTACCTGACCCCAGCTCCTCTGACCTGTGTGGGAATGTGGCGCTGGAATGAAAAGTGACATAACTGTGTTGGACCCGGCTTTGCCCACCTCCTCATGATTCCTTCATCCTCAGCCAGAGGAGGACCCCAGAGAGAAGGGCCTCCCCCTCCTGCCCTGGTGGAGGGGCTGGCTGACCTGGGAGGCGTGTTCCCTGGGTCTTACCTCTGAGAGCAGAAACCCCACCATGGCAGCCTGGCTGCCGCCCGCTGGGCAGAGCGGTGCCAAATGACTCTCCCCTCCTGAGTTCCGTGGCGGGAAACTGTGAGGAAATAAATTTCCTCTCGATATGCTGTGGCTTGGCTCCAGCAAGCTTCCCAATGGCCCATAAAATAACAGTAACATTTATTGGGCGCTTGCCTTGTGCCAAGTGCTATTAAGTCGATCTTAAAGAGAGACACTATTAGCAGCTCCATTGGCGAGCAAAGAGAGGGTAGGGGACTGCCCCCCTCGCAGGGACAGGGAAATCCCCGCGCCCAGGCTCGGAGCCCAGGCAGCCCTGGTACCTAACCACTGGGCAGCCCTGCTTCTTAGGAAAAGGTAGGTGTGTGAGGTGCAGCGAGGAGGGCGGGGAGCATCTCAGAGGCTGACAGGTGGCTGTCCTTTCCTCCAATGAGGCACACTCATTCCCTCCGCAGGGTCTTCGCACTGCTGTTCCCTCTGCTGGAAATACCTTCCCCCCCCCCCATCTTCACGCGCTGACCCCCCTCATCACCCCTGCAGCCCAGACGCCTTCTCCCCGGAGAAGTTGCCTGGTGCTCTGGCGGGCGTGTCATCCCAGTTGAGTTCCATCACCAGTTGAGTTCCATCACCATGGTCACCATTCGGCGCTTGCCCACTTGTTTCCGTGCCCACTTGTTTCCGTGCGTAAGGCTGGGCCGTGTCTGTGTTGTTCATTTTGTACCAGTGTCCGGTGCAGAGAAGGCTGAGGAAATGCAGGCCAGGAGGGTCTCTGGGGGCTGCAGGCGAGTGGGGAGCAAGCGTCCTGTGTGCTGTAGAAGCACACCCCGCAGGGGAGGCTGGGGGCCTCAGGAGGGACTGGGGGAGCACAGCCCAGAGGAGGGGACTTGGCTCCCACAGGCCAGCTTCCAGGGCTTCTCTGCCCGTCGACCCTCTGGGCCTGGGGAGCCCCTTATACTCTCCATGAGAACTATGGGCTCTTCTCACAGCAAAGGAAGCACGATTTACATGTGGGTTTTGGTGTCCAATCGCAAGTTTTAAGTTTTAGTTTCTAGTCTGCAGACAAGACAAAGGAAGACATCCCCCACGCCCCAAAGGTCACCCAGAGGCGTAATATACAGCAGCCCTTTATTCCCCTCCCTTATCTCAGCCAGACATCTCCAGGGAGCTGCCCCTCAGTGGCAGTGGGGTCGTTAACCCTGTGGTCTGTCGCCAGTGGCACGACCCAGCTCTGTGTTTTACATCATACTTAGCAGGGTCACGGGAGGTACACGGGGACTTGAGGGTCACGCATCTCAGACTGCCTTCCTGCCCATGTCCCGGCTGGATACAGGCACAGCCGCTCCCATCCCCTCCTCAAGTGCCACAATGCTTGTACAGATACTCTGCAGTGGGGTGTAGACTAAGAAAGACCAGTCCAAAGTACACATCCAACAACAGGGAGCTGGTTAAGCAAACCAGAAACTGTCTAGACTAGGTTTTCTCAACCTTGGCCCGATCGACGTTTTGGGGGGACTGTCCTGCACTGTAGGATGTTTAGCAGCGTCCTGGCCTCCATCCACCAAATGCCAATAGCACCTCCTACCCCAATGTGACAGCCAGAAATGTCTGCAGACATTGCAAATGACCTGTTCAGAACCAAATCCATTGGTTCACACAATGGAATTCTGTGCAACTGTTAAGAATGACACATAATAGTGCTCCCTTCGGCAGCACACGTACTAAAATTGGAGCAATACAGAGAAGATTAGCATGGCCCCTGTGCAAGGATGACATGCAAATTCGTGTTCCATATTTTTTAAAAAAAGACACATAATAATAAAAGTAATGATAACTAACACTTACTGAAGGAACACTATGTACCAGAACCAGGTCTGAGGTTTACACATAATTTCTTTAA